AAGATGTTCAAAGATAAATGAACCAGGTATTTGTGGCCATGAAAATAGATGGAACCAATGTAGATTGTTCTGGATAGTTAGCTAAGTGATGGCCTAACCTCACCAGGGGACTTCAGTACTTCAGCACCCTGTGTGCTCTGTGGGACGTGGAAAGAGGCTCATGGTGTGCTAAGTGAAAAGAGTAAGGTCATAGAATTCCTCCCCGTAAGTTCCCCCATAATTTTGCATATCCAAATAATGTATGACTCAAAAAAGACGGGATGGATAAAGACAAAAATGGTAATAGTGATTACCTCTAGATGGTGGGATTATTTCACACTTTAGTGTACAAAGTATTTTTGCTATGAACAAAATCACTTTTATAAACGGGAATACAGGATCATTAACAATTTTGGCCCTTCAACTTGAAGGCAAAGAACTAGATTGCCCTTAACTCCTGTGACTGCTAGTTGCTGTCATCCCTCACATGAAATGTCCTAGGGGTTGTTTTCAGTGTGCATCTTCTCATAGTGCAGAAAGTAAACTCTCATCCAGGTTAGTTTATCTTTTTTGTTTCATCTGTTTGGTGTGGTTTATTATTTGCTCTTTTTACTTAAGCTGTATGTCCCATACTGTAATTTTAAACTTAGTACTTAAAAATATTTTTACTTTCTTATCCTTCTGCCCTTGACTGGTGTGTAAGTTTACATTATGTTGTTGTTTATTCTTGTGTTGACTGAAAATTCTTTGTAACACTCTTTGCCCTCAGGACTTTTAATAGTCCTTGGCGGCAGGGGTTGCACGGGTCTGTTCCCAGGCAGGAGCCTGTCTGCATTGCTGTGGGATGGTATGAGGTAGCGTAAAACCCAGCCGTTTTCAGGATTGTTTTGGTTGTTTGAGGTCCTTTGAATTTTCATATGAATTCTTTAATTGTTAATATACTAAAAATCTGGTTGGGATTTTGAAGAAGTTTGCATTGTATGTTTCAATTAAATTGGGGAAAAACCAGCAGCATAATAATCACATCTGTTAATAAACACAGTTTAATTTTTTTTTAATTGAAGTATAGTTGATATGCAGTCTTAGATTGGTTTCAGGTATACAGCACTGTGGGTCAGCAGCCGCCCACATCACTGAGCCCTCCGCACTGGTGGCCTCATTGTCAGCACAAGAGGAACAGTTTACTTCCTAATTTCTAATATGTCCCTTAATTTCTTTCTTTTACCTATTAACCTCTGGACGTCCTACACATTTGTTTTTGCCTTGTTTTTGATTGTGTGGAAAATGTTCAGTATTTCATCAAGTAAGGCATATAAGCCAACTGGTGGTTTTTTAATCAAATTGAAGTTTTCTATGTCTTGTTTACTGAGATTGTTTTTTAAACATCAGAAATGGGTGTTGAGTTTCTCAATGCTTTTTCTACATCTGTTGAGATATATCTTGTGGCTTTTATCCCTCATGTTATTAATGTGAATTAAATTGACTTTTTAAAAATATATACTCCAGACTTTATTTCCAGTTTGCGAGCTTGTCCGTTAATGCTATTTCCATTTTTCGAGTTTTTCCGTTAATGTCCTCTTTCTGTCCAGAATCCAGTCTGGAGCAGCATGTATTGTTGTATCCCCTCTGGTCTGTGATAGTTTGTCAGTCTTTTGTTTGACAACCGTGACAGTCTAAAGAAGTATTGGCCAGGCATGCTATAGAATGCCTTCCATTCTAGGCTCTTCTGGTATTTTCTTAAGATCAGTCTGGGGTTACGGGTTTTTGGAAGGAAGGCCACAAGGGTTTGGTGCCACAAGTGACAGATTAGCAGTTAGGAAGGTCATCCCGTCATACTGCTGAGCCTGGGGCTCCTTGGCAGCTTATCCTTGATCATGTGGTGAGGTGGCCTTTGCCAGTTCCGCATATATAGGAGTCTGAACATCCTGTCTTTCCCCTTTCTTGGCTCTGTTCTTTGGAAGCTAGTCACTAAGTCCTGTCTGCCCTTAAGTGTGGTGAGGGACTTAAATTCCACCTAAGGGGGTGGGTAATCTACAGCTTTTGGAGTGCTAGAAGATGTGTTAAATTGCTTTTTTATTGCAGAATCGACCTTGCATTTCTGGTTAAACAGCTGGTCAGGTTGTATTTTCCTTTTCACATTTTGCTAGATTTCATTCATATGCTTTTATTTTCATAGAGAGTTTTCTGGCTGTATTCATGAAGGATATTGGTCCCTAAATTTTTTTTTCTTGTAATTTTTGCATAGTTTGATCACGGGTTAATTTCAGAATTAGCTGGAGAACTTAAAAAAAATACACAAACCTGGGTCTTGCTCTCCCTTAGAATGTCTAACTCTTTATGTATATGTGATAAGGCTGGTGGACTTGGATACTTTTAAAGAACGTTCGTGATGGTTTTCATATGCGCTCCCCATTAAGAATTGTAAGTACATCTTTCAGGTTTTCAAGATAATTAAAAATCAAACATTTGACTATTTTTGGCAATGTCTATAATAAAATTAAAGATTTATATACAAATCTAATAATCTTGGAATAACCAGTTTTTTAAAGTTACCCAGTAATGCCCTTCAATGGAATTTTATTTGTGAATACAAGACTACTAGATAATATTTGCCTAAAAACTGCAGGAAAGTCAATATTTTGGCAGGTAGATTAATTTTATAAACCTTATGGTCAAAGGAGTATTTTTTTGTTCCCTAGCCCAGTGTTTAGAATAAGAGGTCGTAACTCTTTCAGAGGCTGAAGGAGCAAGTCCAGTCTAGTTCAGTGAATGTTGCCCAGTGGCCTATAGCTGAGGCTGGTGGGGCCAGGCCACTCTTTGGTTTCAGTCCCTGGCTTGTGTAATCTTTGATAAAGATGAAGAGTTAACAGGACCCCGAGGCTTGGACTAGAGGTTTGCTTTCTGGGGCATTCCAATGCTGAAGAACTACCTTGTGCTGTCCTCTGGAGCCTCGTGCTCATGTAGCTCCTTCCATTCCTAACCGCCAGCAGCCGGCACAGTCTGATTCCTTTGAGAATGTCATAAATGGAATCATATAGCAGCATGCCACCTTTCCAGCAAGATGCCTTTGGTTTTATCCTAGTTCTGTCGATAGTTCATTCCTTTTTATTGCTAGAGAGCATTCCATGGTTTGGATGGGTGGATGGGTGACAGTTTATCTATTCACACACTATTTCTATGCTTAGTGATCTGAAAGAGAGCTGTAAACATTTTCCCACAGGTTTTTATGTGAACATAAATGACCATTCCTCTTGGGTAAATATCTAGGAATGAGATCGGTGGGTCATAGACTAGATTTGTTTGTTTCTGGTGGGTGGTAGTATTTGTTTCAAGGAAGCAGTTTTCAGCTTAACTTTGTTCTCTTAGAGTCCTCAGATGGAGGTGTGGATGCAGAGTAACTATATTCGTATCAGTGTTGTCATGTTTTACATTAAACTTGTATGGAAAGTCTCTGAATTTTAATTACTGTTAATGGTTGAATTAGAAATGACTGTTGCAGTCGATCTTTGCATTATTGGTAGTCATGTCATTTCTTCCTCTGTGGCCTTGCTGCTCAGTTCGGTCTGTGGAGCTGGTGAGAAATGCAGAATCTCAGGCCCCTTTGGCCCTGTGGAATCAAAACCTGCATTTTAACATATTCCCTGTGATGGGTGCAGACATTCAGTTTGAGAAGCGCCAGTCCGTAGTGCTGCGAAAGTAGGGAAGAGCTCTTGGCAAACGGGTTCGCCTTTGACTGAAGGGTGGTGCGGCACACGCCTAGCCGGGCCCGTCTCCTGTGTTCCTTACTTTGTTTTTTTCTAGACATTCAAAGACGAATAATGGTATCAAACCAACCGAGTGCCAAGATTTGTGTTCTTTAAACTTCTGTAGTATGGTGAGCACAGGAATGCTGAAAGGCGGGTAGACACACAATTAGAGTTGCCTTCGGCATTCTGTTTTCAGGCATTGGGGATCCCGAGCGTGTGTCTCTACTCAAGGGTTTGTAATACTGATAATAACAATACAATATGATGTAGTTGATACTTTTACACAGAAAATATTGGGGAAAGAATACAAAATGATTTTATTGTTGGTTTATCTTTTTTCTTGTGTGTTTTCTAATGAAGTAGTTCATTTTTGTTGCTATTAAGAGTAAAGAACACTTAAAAATTGCAAATCATGAGAATAAAGAGGCAAATTCTGCTTTAAGTTTACAAAGAGTGTTTAAATGAACCTAGCATTATAGGTACCTGACAGTGGATCACTGAGACCTAATATAAGGTGAAAAGTGACTAGTGTCAAAGGAACATGAGTGCACAAAAAAAATTGATGATGAAGAAATTACTTTGAGGTTGGGACTAGACTGGGCAAAATTTTTGTAGGAATTCTTATATAGGGTAAAAGCTGGTTTTAGTATGAAGAAGTGACTGAAGAAGAAAAAGTCTTGGCTGTTTCAGTACTCTGAGCTGGAGGTAGTGAAGAGTGAGTGCTGGATGTAGATGAAGTAGAAAGGGGGTAGCGTGGTGAAGGGAAGGTCCCAGAGGCTGGAAAAACCAGACCAGCCTCGCCGCGGAGTTGGAGCTCCTACCTGACAGCAGAAGGCAAAGGGGAGGCAGCAGAGTTGCAGGAGGTGTGGAGCCTGCATAAGGGGAGGGAGGGTGCTGTCATCTAAAGTCTGTTACAAGGTGCCTTATGTGCTACCAACAGCTCTCGGGTTACTTTAATTAGTAAATGGAACCTTGCTAGAATCTGGATTAGATTGAGTCTGGCAGGGAGTTTGGAACTTGGGTTTTTCTCTCAGAAGTATGAGTAGCAACAACACAGAGGGCTTCATATATTAATTGCAAGCAGACTTTGAAATTTTTCTAACATTAATTTTTAATATTTGAGATTATTTTCCCCAGGAATCAGTTTAGTGTCTCATATGGCCCTGTAATCTTAAGTGTGAACAATTTATATATATGATAGACATTTTTCAATATTTAGTTCAAAAGAATATGCATTCACTTTCTCTCCCTTTTTGTTTTATGTCTGTAATGTAGGGAGGCATGGAAACTCTGGAACTGCAGAAGGATGTAAAAGAAGAATCAGATGAAGAAGATGATGATGATGAAGAATCTGGACGGTTACGTTTCAAAACCGAAAGGAAAGAAGGAACAATTATTAGGCTCTCAGATGTAACGAGAGAGAGAAGAAACATTCCAGAAACTCTGGGTAACTTTTTTTGCCTGTCTCCCATCCTCCTTCATTCCATTTCAACTTCCTCCATAGCACTGTTACCATTAATCAAATAGGTTAAAAAAAAGTTGACATTGTAGATGGTTACGTGTGCCATCCAGGAGTGGATGGTCTGTGAGGTTAGAGCTCAGTTAAGGTGCCGTAAGTCATTCTACAAAAGTGACTGTCTTCTGGATTAAAAATGTTTGAATAAAATACTTGATTGTTTATTTTTTTAATAGTTTTTCTGTTGGAGTCTATGGCCTAGACCTACTCTAATGCAATCCCTGTGGTTCCTGGCTGGCTCTGGGAAGGTGTGTGGGTGTGATATGGGGCCATTTGACCTTCCTGAGATCCACAAGGTTGCCAGGGCTAATTCTGGACCAGACTAGTTTAATTTTGTACCTTTTTGTATCTGTACTAGACTAGTTTAATTTTGTACCTTTTTGTATCATTATAACCATCTTTTTAATATTTTCTTTTTCTGTATGCCATTCTTCTCTGTGTTGAATGAGACAAAGTAAGTGACTTGTTTTTAGGCATGATCAATTGAATATCATTCTGTGTAAACCCTGCTATTAAGGATCTATACAGGCTATTGCTGATCAGCAGAGAGACTATGTCTCCCTGTTGACTCCCTATCACTGATAGTGACTGTTTTCCAGTGTCCACTGCAAAGAATAAAGCAGTGGTCCTCAAATTTAAGCAGCAAAATTGCCTAGAAGGCTTACTGAAACACAGATTTCTGGACTCACTCCCAGCTTTTCCAGTTCGGTAGGTTTATGGTGAGACCCAAGTAGGTTGCATTTCTGATGAGTTCCCAGTTGATGCTGCCCCAGAGTTGGTGCTTTGAGAATCACTGTGATACTGTGCTGTGTTCTAATGAGGAGGGCAGGAAGGTGGAAGTTCAGAGGGCTGTCCTCTCTGGTCTTGGTCAAAATAAAAAAAAAAAGCTAACCCTTAGTTACTACCATTATTACTTCTTAAAACCATTATTTACAGCCACTTTTAGCAATAACATGAACATTATCTTAAGTGGTGGATGTGAATTCTTTGTGAGGACACTTGAGCTCCCAAGAAGCACACGTTAACAGTAGTGACTCAGTCTTAGGTTATTTCACTCAGTGAAATTCATGGAGAGATTGTTAGGATTTTTGCCCTCTCCACTTTGTCTCCCATCAATTTCCTCCTTTTCTACTTTTTGCCCAAGGTGTCCCTAGACTTGTTCTCAAGTTACAGTATAAAGGTGCTATTTGGTCTGAACCAGGACAGCATCAGTTTTTAAGAAAGAGGACCTGAAGGTGGCCTTGCTTGAGAAGAAGATGAATCAAAGGTCTTAAAACAGGAGGATGGAGAAAAAAAAGTGTCCTTCAGCAGGAGGAATTGGTCACATTACAGAACAAGGTTGCTCAAACAGACATCTGTCTTGGGCTGGGATAAAATGAAACAGACGAACAAGGGAACGCAAGTGTCCCTGGCTGAAGGAAGGCAGTGGGCAGGGGCAGCAGTGTAGCAACTTCCAAACCCAGGAGGGGGCTTCATGGGGGTGGCTGTGGTGAGACCTCACTTTTCTGCCTCTTTGTAGCTGGGCTGCAGCTTTACTGTTTGGGGAACCCGATGTATCAAATCATAATAAGTGGGATAGCTGCAAGTTTGAGGATGTGAAAACGCTTGACAGTCCTGCTTGGGAGTGGAAGCCTTTCCCCTCTGCAGCTGACGCTCTTTAAATGCCACAGTGGATTTCATGGGTCACTCTTCCCTGACCCTTAAAGTGTCTGCCCCTGCCTGCTCCCAGCCCTCAGCTAGGGTCATTGTGTCTCTTCATTCTGCTGCAGCTCCAGCTCTGGCAGTGTGTTCCCAAGCATCCAGTGTTCCTATGTTTATGGTTTGTGTGGTCTCATTCCTACATCTCTTTTTAGGACATTGGCCTCATTTCATTCTTTTCATTTATGCTTCCTTTATTAAGGTCTTATGCTGAGTCTCTCCCACTTCTCCTTTTTTCTTCTTAAGGCATCTGGCAGCTTTATAGTCCTGTCCTCCTGAGACAAGAGGCTGCAAGGGTTTAGTGGTGGGCAGGTGGGTGGACCTTGAAATATGGGGAAGGAGGGTCTGAGGTCCTTAAAGGCAGAGTGGCTGTAAGCTTAAACAATTTGGCCATTTACCAGTCTTTTAAACATTAAAAAAAAGACTTGAAACATGTGATTGATTGCTAGATAGGGTAGATAATTAATTGCTAGATAATTTAGCAAAGTGATTGCTAGATAATACCATAAGTGAAAATGATACTTAAAAGTTATCTTTCTCTGCTCCATATTTGTGAGCCCTAATTTAAGAAATTAAGAAAGCTTAGTGTTTGGAAACAAGTTCTCTAGTAACTGAGAAGTTAGGGTTATTATCAGTACAGAAAGGATATTTTTTCCCATTTAAAGATTGGTTTCCTGAAACACTTCCTATTACCTTAATACCCTGCCCCCCTCCAACAAAAGGTTAATTTTATAATAAGAAAAATACTTAGTGAGAAAGAGAAGCTGCTACAGTATTTGGTAGACTAGAAATTTCCATCCATTTTCTACTCACCAATTTGTGTGCTCCTGGTGATATCAGTTTCAGGTTCTGTATAGACACACTTGGATTTATTTCATTGTATAAAGCTGTTTACTTACTCTTTGGAATGGGATTAAGACACCTTGCCACCAGAGTCCATACGTCATCTTACATGGTCTGTATGTCTTGACAAGTGATGTTGTTTACCATCTTGAATATAAATAAAAACAGTTATTTTGCAATACCATTGATTAAGGTTGAGAACACACCACTTTTAAAGAAGAAGAATGAAACAATGCTCTGGCCCCCAGCTCACCATTCCCACCCTTTAGTCTATATGTGGGATACAGAGTTCTCTTCAGAATCTAGAGGGTATTTTGGTCGCTTTTTGTCTTTTTCACATTCTAATATGTGCTGTTATCCTTAAATGTGAAGTACACTGTTCATATTTATGACAGTCTTGGCAGTTATGGAGCCTAACACACAGTTGTTGGTTTGTAGTTTGAATTCTGATCAGATTTGAGGTAGAATTTTGGGCTTTCATCTAGACTGAGATCTTAAGTAGTGAGTTTTTTTCCTCATCTGGGATCCAGGGAATTATAGAAGCCTTACAGAAAATGCGGCTATTTTTCAAGTTTCCCATCTCAAGATGTACAGACGTGCATACTTAGGATGACCTTCAAAGGATGCCATAGGTGTAACGGCTTAGTTCTCTCATGGAACCCAGTCGAGAAGGATTTCTAGGACATGCACGTGTAAGGGAGTGATTTATTTTGAATGGAAATGTCAAATGCCATCTCTAGAAAGTGGGTCTTTTGTCTCATTTCTACAAAGTGTCATCGTGGAAGTTGAGAGCTGCCTGTTCGGTAATCTCAGGAGGCGGGCCTAAGATTCTCATGGAAACAGTACAGGCCCTAAATGAAGGCCTGCGGTCACTTCAGTTAGGCCTTTTACTTTTTTGTCTGTGAGTAGGTGTCCAATTCACAATATTTGTTGTTTCACTGGTACATGTAATATGTTACATTCTATTTTGTTGCTTTAGCCTAAGAACATTCTTATGCTCACTTAATGTTCTCCTGAAATAATGTCTTAGTTAATTTTGTTAAGGCAAAGGATCTGTGGGAAAAATTTTCCTATCTAGTACTAAACAGGGCAATATTCTAGTGCCAGCAGTAGAATACTGTCCTAAGTTTACACAGCAGTTCTTGTGTTTGCAAGGTTTTTGTAGGTTTGTTGATTCAGTTACCTTGTAAAGAACTCAGGCTGTCATTTGTTATTTTTATTTTGCCAAATAAACTGTATTTTATAAATACTCATGTATTAGTCCAACTTGTGTAAAATTATTTGTATGCAGATATATTAGAAAAGGACAATACAGTGTAAGACTTTGTTACATTGAGCTCTATCTCTTTACTTTGGAATATGGACATAGTTCAGAGAACACTTAAAGGGGAAATTAACATTTCAGTTGAAGTTACAAATGTAATTTCCATCCTGTCATATTTTGGTGACCTTTTGTGACAGCTTGTCTCAATTGGAGGAAAGCATTTTTGCTTGCTGATTAAAGATGTCATTTGAAACCATTTTATTACTGGGGATACTGAAATTAATCTTGACACTTAGAACCACTAGAAAAATAATTGCTGATTCACTGCATAAAATGTGTGTATGTGAACTAATCATGTAGTCAAGATTAGAATAAAAGCCTGCTTGTTGAGAAGAGATTAAATTTTCTTTTGAATGGGGTCTAGATTCATTAGAACGGAAGGGGGTATACCATAGACACAATTTCAAGAAAATGAAGTGTGGCTTAGAGATTTTGGGGGTTTGGAGATGATTATGGAATCCAAGGTAGGAGGCAAACAGGTGATGTGAACAGTGCACCCTTCATTGTGGACGAAGGCATAAAAACGCTTCCCAGTAGAATTCAGGGACAATTTAGGACGGTATATGTTTATTAATTATATGTTACAACTTAGGTATTTTAAAATAAAGGAAGCATATTTGAATAAATCAGCTTTTTTCTTTTAGGAATTCAAAATAATTTGCCAGCTAAAGTCTCTTAGGGCAGGCGTCCTGCTGCAGGCGCCCCTGAAGCCTTGGCCTGAGAGGCACCTGCAGGGTTTCTCCTGTGACTCTGCTCTCCTTTGATGCTACTTCCACGTCAGACTGCATGGATACAAGTCTTTCTTCACGGTTTTTTTTAAACATAAATCTGGAAATTTGAAATAATAGTATTAAATGAATTTTACATTTATGATATTAACTTTGAGTTCATTTGATTTCAATGATAGTTTTGTTTTTAAATCAGAACAATCAATGATTTGTGTTTTTGTGGGTTTTTTTAAGTCTCCTTGCCGCTGTGTATCAATAATACTTCTAGAAAATTGTACTGGTGGAGTCAGGCCCTGACTAGTGCCGTCTGCCATCAGTGAAGGAGAAACTGATCTCAGAATGCCCAGCAGTTTAAGGGTGGGGTCAGTCGGGCTTCAGCCCCTTCTGTTTAGCGTTCCTCAGCACATTTTATCGGTCTCAAAAGAAAATGCTTTCATATTTACAGGAGATTCTCGTATTTGATGACCAGCGAAGAGCGCACTGTCCCTTGAACAGCTCCCTGGCGGATGCACGCGCACTGAGTGTGTCCTGCCTGCTCCTGCTGCGGTTTAGTTACTGTGGGTGAAGCACTCACTTTTCCAGAGTTCATTGTTACATATTCCTTTCCTGTTTTTTCCCTTTAAACCTGGCCTAGGCTACTTGAAGGTAACTAACTCATTTGCATCTTTTCGAATAGAGCTTTCCGCAGAAGCCAAAGCCGCCTTGCTTGAATTTGAAGAAAGAGAGCGACAGCATAAACAGGGACGCTATGGTTCAAGGCGGGGAGGAAGGAGAGGAGGCTCCATGATGTGTCGCGGAATGGGAGACCAGAGAAGAGAGAACAGTGAGAGGGGGAGAGCCAAGGACCACAGACCTGCTCTGCTTGCCACGCAGCCGCCCGTGGTGGTAACGTCACAGTCTTACCATGATAGCCGGAAGCATTAGCACTGATGACGACAGGCTTGTGGGTCGTGTACTTTGTAGTTACCTCTTTGTCTGACTAAATTAAAGTCTAGTAATAGGAATAATGGCTAAAGTTACCTTATAGTCTGTAATACAACTGCATATATGGTCTTACAAGTTCAGCCCTCTAGTATTTGGGCAGTAAAAAAATAACTATGAAAAGGAAAAGAAAGAGAGCCCCCATGTCCTCCGGTGACAAGAGCCACAGAGGAGCTCTTCTCTGCTGCTGAGAGAGGTGCTTCTCGTGAGGGCCTGGACTTAAACAACGCTGAATTCATTGCACAGGAGATTGGATTATTTTATAGGCATTAGGGGGGGAAGCTAAACCTAGGCAGTCATGGTTTATGTTATAAAAATATTTTTCTTGGATTTTCCTTAATACCAGTTTCTCTTAGAGTGACTGTCATATCCTGTCCGTGAAAATGCGGATTGTCTTAAGCTACCCATAAAAATTTTTCATGATTTAGGAATAGTAATTTCAAGTATAATTACATTTGGATTTCCTGTTATTTCAAAGATGAGTTACCTCAGAAGCAAAGACAGGAATTGTACAGATTTGTTTTGTTCTTTTAGCTGTGGGATTTCATGGAGTTTTCTTTCAGGGTCAGTCTTCATAGGCACATTTACTTAATTACACATATGTGTCCATAGTGTCTACCCGATGTGTGCCTCCTACCTTTTTATCTGAATGTAGGGAAAACTACACTGCTTCCGTGTAGAAAGGTAATGTTTTAGGGGGCATTCATTTGGGAAATAACAAAGCAGAAAAAACGACCCTCTGCTCTGTGTGAGAATGCCAGCCTTGACCTAAAGACAGGAAGGCGGGTGGTTGCTGCCTGAAGAGATTGACGAGGAGTAATTGCCGTTTGCTCATCGGCCTCTACATTCTGACGCATCTCCAGCAGCAGAAGGGCTGGACCCTCGGGTTCTTGTTTTTTTCCCGTCCCGTGTCTGCGCTCAGCCTCCGCTTGCCTTAGGGGCAACAGCCAGTTCAGAGATATTGGTCCCCTGGTGGGGAGCAGCCTCATGGGAGAGCTGTTTTGCACAGTTGTGACTCCATGATCCTGGAAAAGTCCCTCAACTCCCTCTTCTGTCTTGTCCACAAGAAGATGTAATATGTGCCTGGCCTGCCTCCTTCAGAGAGGCTGGCCTAAGAGGCTGGGAGCGCTTTCAAAATGTTCCTTGAGTGTAGGTTGGCCTGGGCCCTGCCAGCGGTGAGCTGAGTCCCTGGGGTTCTGGTGTCTGCACTCCCTGGGAACTGGGGAGAAGCCCATGGCTGGCCACCTCAGCATGAGGGCCTTGGGCCTGTAAGCTCTGTGCTCACCGTTGCTGGTTGGTGGTTGGTTGGTAACTGGTTTGCTGAAAAGGTGACACTGAGATGAACCTAACCTGCCTCCCACCTGGGACCACCCTCAGATCAAACATGCTCTTGATCGTGATCGCTCCCCACCCCAGAGCTGTCTGTGTCCTCAACTTCTCAAAAAGCTCTGGCAGGAATCATCTTTGCTCACGCCTTCGCCTCTGCCCGTTTCTCCTCCGTCGCCCCTGCTGTCTGGACTGTGCGCCTGCCCCCCATCCCAAGTGTGCTCGCAGGGTCCCGGCTCTCCTCTGCAGCCCTTGCCAGGGCCCCACCAGGGAGCTCCTCTGCCAGCGCCTCTTGGGGGTGTGTGTGTGTGTCTGAGATTCGGTGTGTGTGCTTCTCTACAGGCAGTGCCCCTCTTCTCCTTTTTCTTTAGCCGCATTATTCTCAGGGATTTGTTCTCTGCCCTCCTTTTAGTTGAAGTTCCCACTTGGCAGCATTGTCCATTCCACCATCTCCTGTCTCTGCGCGATACTGAGTCTTAGCCCTAACCTCTTGCTCTAAGTTCCTCAAAGTGTCCCCTAGTTGCTGGTACCTCACCACCTGGGGGTCTCACAGGCCCTACACTCCACTTTTTTAAGACCCTGATTCCCTTAGAAATCCTTTATGCTCGTGACTGAATGACCCACATTGTGCTTGGTCTTGGTTCAGTTCAGATTTAACTCTGATGCCCACCTGTCGGTTAATGTGCTCTCGGTGGGGATTCAGTGGGAGTAAGACTGACAGGGTCCTTTCTCTCATGTGCAGATGTGCACATTACAGATGTCATGAATTGGGGGGGAACGCACTGGGTTCTGGGAGCATGGGGAGCCGTGGGCTTAAGGGGCTGGAATCTTCAGAAAAGTCCTCCCTGAGCAGGGTGAGCTAAGCCAAGGCCATACACAGTTTGGTCTCAAAATTCTCATCCTGCCTCCCCAATATCTCCTTCCTATTGCTCTTCATCAGGTGGCAGCTGCTCCTCCCACTCAGCTCTCATCACCGTTGTCTGTTAAATGGTCTCTGCTTCCATTGTCCTAGCCTTCGTCCATCTCAGTCGGTGGCAGTCTTCCTACCGTCTCATCCTCAGTGATTGCTCCTCAGAAGTGCTGCACATGGTGTAGGAACAGACTCTGTACTTGGGTTCCAAGACCTCAGGGCTTGGCCTCCTCCCAGGGAAGGCAGCTTGTTTCTGGGGGAGGCCTGAGTGGGAGTGGTCCACTGCCTCAGCTGCTGAGTGTCGCCTTGTTGATTGGGGGTTACAGTAGGGCTTGGGGGTTAGATTCTCTGAACTCTACTTGCAGCTCTTCTGCTTAGCAGCTACCTGACCTTGTAAAGAGAGGAAGGAGAGTAACAAGGCCCCACCAGATGGGATTGTGGGGAGTGAGTCAGTCCCCTTGCGTACTGACCTTTCAGGAGGCGCCGACACCGTGGCCGGGCCCAGTGCTCGGACCCCACTGCCGTTGCCGGCTCCTTCCTCTTCGCGAGTAGTCGGCAGCCGCCGGCAGACCCTTGGCTGCTCTGAGTGTGTTTTTTGCTGCCTTCGTATGGCTGTAGCCACCCTGGTCTTCCAGCTCACCCAGCAGGCGTGCCTCTCTGGCCCTGCTGCTCTCAGTCCCTCTCCCTGGGTGGCACGTTTCTTTCCTGCCTTGCTGCCTGTTCAGTGCCACCTTCTCTGAGCTTCCTCCCTCCCCTCGGGTGTTCTGAGCTCTGTCGCTGCCCGTCTTAAGGCCTCTCTCCCGCAGCCGTGCTCTGCTCCACCTTCCTTCCTGGGTGTCCTGGGGGCAGGGGCACAGCTGGCTGTGCAAGGGAGGCTGAGGGCATCCTGGGCTCTTATCTTCAGTGCCATGCTTAGCTCGCTGTGGGCCATGTTGTTGGTCGAACTGAATTTTTTTCTGTTGGGATCTGTGTGCATTGTTTTGGGGCTGCCGTTTTTCCCTCCTTGCCCTGAGATTGAGTCACGTGAGACAGGAGCCCTCACCGCACAGGCAGAGCAGTTTATTTATCCTGCCCTTTTAGATAAGTTGTTACTGTGAACTTACTCCTAATTATAACTTTTACAGTTTAGTCAGTGTAAGTCTGTAATGCATCAGCATTCTTGTACTTTTACATGTTGATTTCTGTAAATTTGTCTTTTTTGTGGTTTTCAGACACACTCCCCAAGATTAATCCCTCCTCCACAGCCTCAGCCTCCACCCCCGCCGCCTCAGCAGCAGCCAATCCGAAGCCTGTTCCAGCAGCAGCTGCAGCCCCTGCTTCCCCTACAGCACCCGCACCTGCCCTCGCCCCCCCAAGGAGTGCACGTGCCACCCCAGATCGAGGCCCCACGGGTGATGATGACCCCTCCTCCCGCGAGCCCACAGCAGCCCAAGAACATACACATAAACCCCCACTTCAAAGGGGCAGTGGTGACGCCCGTGCAAGGTAGGTGTCTCCTTTGCTGTTGTGAAGTCACAGGGTCTGAAACGCCACTGTGGCCAGATGGTTTGAGTCTAAGGATCTCGGGGCTTTCTTGAGTCCCTCCCTACCTGCACACACACATGCCAGCTGGATGGGCCAAACTCATTGGCCTAAAAGTATTTATCTCTTTTTTTTTTGATATTGTTATTGGTACAATTACTTGAACAACATTATGGTTACTAGACTCCCCCTATTATCAAGTCCCCCCCCCCCCACATACCCCATTACAGTCACTGTCCAGTGCAGTAAGATGCTATAGAATCATTACTTGTCCTCTCTGTATATACTGCCTTCCCCATGTCCCCACCCCCTAACATTATGTGTGCTAATCGTTATGTTATCTCTTGTTTTATGATTGAGTGCGGAGTAATGAGAAGACACTCTGTGTGACAGGCATCAATGAAAGTGTCTTGAGTCGGTGTTCATGAGGTCCCTGGTGGGAATGTAGTGAGCGTGCCCCTCAGACTCCGCTTGGGTGCCTCCGTTTGCCCCAGCGGTAGCTCGGGAGGCACAAACCCATCTTATAGTCACTAATTCTGTGTGACTAACATCTGATGTCATGATTAGAGGCATGTGTTCTTACAGCTAGGAAACTAGTTTTGAGCACTTATATGGTGTGTATCTTCGTGCATTTCTTCAGCACATGGTGATTTTGAGGTACTTGATCTGTCTCTGGCATTTGAGATGTCTTGGTGAGCAAAACAGGAAGCTTTCTGTGGTGCTCACCCTGCTTTCCAGCGGGCAGGCAGGAGAGAGCAGCACACGTAAGTGAGAGGCGGAGGTCCAGTGAGAGCAGTGGAGCGGGCAAGGGTCTGGGCAGGCCACAGTTGGCAGTAGGGCGGGGAGGGTAGGCCTCACCACATAGGTAAGGGTTGAAGGAGGTTGAGGAGCTAGTGATGTGACTGCTTCAGGGGAGAATATTCCAGGCAGAGGGAGAGGGCCTTACTCAGGTAGGATCATGCTTTGTGTGTTCGTGTCCAAAGGGAGATGATGTGGCATTAGTGGAGGGTTACAGCAGAGAAATGGTATGGGGTCTGGGTCATGGAAGACCTGTGAGCCATTCTGAGAGCTCTGGCTTCTACTCTGAATATTGGAACAGAGAAAGGACATGACCTGGTTTATGTTTTAGAAGGATTGAAGAATTGCTCTGGCTGCCATGTTGGGAGTAGGCACTGATGTGGTAAGGGGGGAGGTGAGTGTGATGATGCAGGTCACAAATGAGAGTGGCTCAGGTAGTAGTGAGGAGTGGGCAGATGCTGGAAACAACTCAAGAGGAAGCCAGTAGCATTTGGTGGTGGGTCAGTTGAGTGTGAGAGGACGCAAAAATGATGCCACGGGGCTCTGGACATATGAGGGGGTGTTGCTGTCAGCTGAGAGGGAGAGCAGGTTTTGAGGGAGAACATCAGAAGTTCTACTCTGGATGTGTTAAGTTTGAGACACCAACTAGATATGCAGGGGGAGGTGTCTAGTAATAGTTCAGGTGAAAGTTCTGGGCTCAAAATACAAGTTAGGGGGCTTTGGGCACGCAGATGGGTCCAGGGCCTGTGCCCAGTGAGAGACCCAGAGCAGGGATATCGATGGAGCAGGACCAAGGCTGGAGCCTAGGCCTCTGACCTGAGGGGTGCGGGTCTGCAGGAGGAGGGCTGGGGGGCCGGGGCCCGGGGACTGCAGGCACGAGGAGCAGGGGAGGAGGGTGGCCAGTGGGAACAGACTACAGGCTGAGGGGCTACGCCAGGCAGTAGGGAGTCGTGGGGATTGTGGCAAGGTGGTTCGGTTCACTGGTAGAGGGATATCCCTCACTCACGTGGGTTTGAGAGAGAATGGGACACAAATGGGAGAGTATTGATAGTTTTTGAAGGTGTTTTGCTGAAACAGGTTGGATGATAATCGGTGGGAGTGGGCTGAGAGAAAGCTGTTTATTTTGGTGGGAAAACTAGAAGCTAGTTAGTTGTGAAGGGAAAAAATCATGAATGCAGGTGCAGGGGGGAACCTGTCAACTGGGACCTGGGGTCCCACGGCAGGACTGAGGGGTTGGAGGAGCACAGGCTCCCTGTGCGGCGGGGCAGAGGCGGCATGGCGGCGCCCTGGTAGGCGGGCGCGGTAGTGCGGCGGCTTCCTGATGCTCGTCCTGGCCGGGGTGCGAGCGGTGAAGAGTGGGCGCCTAGGACGGGGTGTTGAAGGTCTGAAAAAGGGAGAGAAGGCGAGATGTCTCTCTCTAGGGGAGGAGAGGAGTGGAAGTGCAAGGGGCAGGGTCTTGGGGCGCCATTGAAGCCCATTCGAGTAGTGGTCATGGTCTTAGAGGCAGACAGGTCAGTGTGGTGGTTTTTTCTCCAGCTGTGTTTACCTTCTTGTATTAGGTGTGGCATAAACAGAGGGGTGGGTTTGCAAGAGTTAAAGTGTTGACGAGCCAGTAGAGCGCAGCTGTGCTTAGAATGATGGGCCGTGGAGAAAAAGGTGGAAAGGGGCCAGGAGATAGTGGAAAGAAGGTCAGGTCAAGGTCCTGGAGGGCATGGGGTGGAAACGTGGAAGGCGGTGGTAAGAAGGGGGCTGCCCAGAGACTGCAAAAAGGCGGGTCATCGATAATGACCAGGTCTGGGTCGTGGCTGAGCTGGAATGGGAGATGGTGGTCAGGGACCGACAGCCAGGGGACTGGGGGCATCGTCTCTGCCAAGATTTAAGGCAGTGATGGCGAACTGGGAGCTGAACTCAGATGCCAGAGCAGGGGTTTGGCCAGTAGATGGACAGCAGCGGGATAACGGGTGATGTCATCTGGTGGCGGGAGATCGCAACTACAGGCTGAAACTGCACGGAGATCCACGAAGGCCCTCTCTGCTGCCAGAGGCGGTGGGCTGAGGGCTGAGGGAGAAAGACAGCTTTGTTCTCTGGGAGAGTAACAGCGAAGAGTGGGCAGGTAGGTTTCCATCAAAGCCGGAAGGGAAGGGCTGCCGCCAGTGTGGGTTCTGTAGACAGCGAACTTGGCATTCCCACGCTCGGAAGTTAGGAGAAGCCTAAGATGGGACTTGGAGAGTGGGAGGAGGCCAGTAGTCTGGTGACACTGTGAAATCGTGCTGTGACCTCAGAACAGAGGGTGGTGGGGCAGGCAGGCTGGTGGGGGCTGCATATTACTATCGGAGACTGCTCTCGCTGTGCCCACTGGGAGGGAGGGGCAAAGCGGGGTCAGCGCCTGTGGGTCCCTGACCACCTTGCTTGTCCCCACCCTGTACTAGACTCACTTGATGGCCTCACCCTCTCCAGGGCTGAGGGCTCTGAGCCCCCAAGGTAGTGTGGCTGCCGCACTTAACCATGTCATCCCTGCCACAGACATGCTCCCTGTGTCTCCTTCAGGAGCTGGGGCATAAGTGAGCCAACGCACGTGTGTGAAGGGGAACCATGGCTCATTAAAGTAGCCCTCTCCACAGTGGCTTCTCAAGACATGCAGCTGCAGCAAATCTGATTTTGTGTGAATAATTCACTGATGTCAGCATCTGTTCTTGTGTATTGTCTTATAAAATTGAATGGAAAACTGGCAGTTGGTAAGGTGCAGAGTTTCTTTAGCCTAATAAGAATAAATAGTATTAGGACTACCCAAGGGAAAGCTCTAAGAAACCCCCAGATGTCCTTTAGGCATCAAAACAGTGTGCCCTGCCAGAAGTTAGCAGCCTAACGGGTAGAATGCAAGCCATGCACCTCAAAGCTCATGCATGATCCAGTAGATACAGGATGAGCTTTCTGACAATAGTTTTCAAACTCTTTGAATGAGCTAAAGGGTTCCCATCATGAAGTGGGTACTGTGGTGCCCCTGTGAGCTTTCTCTTTCATGTACCTTTGAACTTGCGATCCGCTGACGGCCAGGAGAGAGCAGCAGCCTGTCCTTGCTGGCTGTGCGCATAGAGCACTTGGAAGCATCTGTTTATTCAGTAGTAAATGAATGAGCTTAAATAGAAAGGCACAGCTCTTGAGATAGGCTGGATACCTGCATGCCACCTGTGCAGGTGAGATAGATGGCCCTGGGGATTCTCGGAGCCTTGGGCTGTTGTAGGGCACATTAACAATTGTTCCTGAAAAGTTGCCATGCACATCTTTTCTGATGGCACGCATCTTCTTTTTGAGGGTGGAGAGTATTCTGTCATATTATATAGTTAGCTAGTTTTGATGGAAATTTAATTTGTTTTCCAGATTTTCAGTATTGCAAAGGTAATGAAAGGTTAATCAGTTTAATCCATTAAATACATGGGACAGCAGAAAGATATAAATATTAAATATCAAATATTTAGAGTTCAGGGTTCAACTAGAATTGTCTGTTAACAGTACATGTTTTAAATTCTCTTCTGCTCACAGTGAAGGGGAAGGAGAGAGGTAGAAATGTCTTCCTGCTCATACACCTGGGTACTGCGAGGCTTGGCCAGGGACGTTGCAGATCGGTGCCGTGGCTGCCGTCTGAGCGGGTCTTCCTGGCAGGACTGCGCTGGATTTCAGATCTGTTGTTATCACACCTATTCTTAGATGCTCTCTTCTGTCAACTTTTACTCTTCCTCTCTCTTTCATTGCTTTTTACAGTTTACTTAAAAAAGATTTTCCAGTTGATCAGAAGGCTTCTATGTCAGAAATCTATTAATTATAATTAGATTTCTTCCTAGAGATCCCACCTAGATTCCTTGCTCTTATTTCCACCAGTTAAAGAGACTTAAAATTTTTTATCCTTTCATTGCTTTGGAATTACTTTATAGGAATAGATGTTTAAATCCCAAGTTTAAAAATAAATGGCACATATTAGATATGGAAATTTTAAATATCCTTAATTATAAAACATCTTTAGTCTGTACATGTCTCTGGGTTTGAGGTGAGTCTCTTGTAAGCAGCATATAGATGGGTCTTGCTTTTCTATCCATTCTATTACTCTGTGTCTTTTGATTGGTGCATTCAGTCCATTTACATTTAGGGTGACTATTGAAAGACATGTACTTATTGCCATTGCAGGCTTTAGATTCGTTTTTAGAAAACATCTTTATACTGTTTAATATGTAGGTTTTTTCCTTTATCACTTCGACTATAATCTTTTGAGTCAGAGATACCCTAGTGTTTTCTTCTCCGCTTCACACTTTAGTGTTTTGCTTTAGATATGTAATCAGTATACCCCAGTAGCTAATCATATAGAATTGGGGCTACATCTGGTTTTATATAAAGCCTTGCAAACTTTTTTTAAAGTTTAAACTACTCTTATTTTAAAACTTTGACTTGGTGTATTAGATTCCCAAGAGAGGGATGGACTTACACCGGTTTTATGCCTTATCAAAGTTAAATTTCTTTCAGTCACACTTTTTGTTTGGTTAAGCAGCAACATAGGCCATACAGACTATCAGTCTGAACCGAGTCTGTGGAAGTACGGTGTTGATTAATCACGAGGCTTAGTGTGTGGGATTCCTTGAGTGATCACAGTAAATGAAAAGTGGTTTATCTTAAACGCTCTGTTTTTAAAGTGATTTTGATTGACTTTTAAGCTGTATCGTATCATTTCTCATTTACCAGAAATTTCTTAAATTTCAGAATATGCTGTTATATTGTTTTTCTCATTGTGTCCTCATATGGTCGTTCATCTATGTGTGTTTGTGTCCTCATTTCCTCTTCTTCTAAGGACACCAGTCAGACTGGGTCAGGGCCCAATCCATGTGACCTGATTGTACGTTAATCACCTCTTTAAAGGCCTTATCTCCAAATACAGTCCTGTTCTGAGCTTATGAACTTGGGAGAGGGACCATAGTTCGTCTCGTAAAAGCATACAGCCTGAGAGCTTACTAGGTGCATCTGGCAGCACATTTTACCAAAATGTAAAGCCTGTCACTAGACAGAAGCCACCACTCAGGTGGTGATTTTTCCCTGCAGTCAAGATCTGTATAAAGCATTTGTTTAAATAGCTTCTGATAGTACCTGATTTAGCCCCAGGGTGTGAAACTGACATCTGGCTGCTTCTCTACTATAAAATGTCAGTTTTACAATTCTTTTATATTTTGTTCTTCTGGTAGATTGAGGGGAGTTCTGCTTGTTTAAAAACAAAAGCAAAACTACGAATCCTGGATGGCAGCTATGTTCTGCGGGCACGCTCCACTCCCTGCCCTCCTGCCCTCCTGCCCTCTTCCTTGCCGCCCTCCCACAGTCCCACAGGATGTAGACTTACGCTTGTGTTTGATTGAGTCCGACAGTATGACCGGGATTGATAGTCTGGGTAACCTGGATGTGGATGTGGAAAACAAAGTCGGTTTTTTTAGGGGAATAGTATCTTTTGCAAAATACTTTGATTCTACATAGGAGCTCACTATTTGAATTGGAATTTTAACTTCTGCCCATGCTGTTGTATAATGCAGACTACCTCCCTGCTCTCTCCTTTCCCCTCGTGGAATTGTAAAAACAGGAGGTACTTAACTAAGTGTAAAGCTCGCCCATTGCTTGCATTGTGTGCATGGCATGTGTGTGGGGTGAACGGGCTGTTTGTGATGACAGTGTCTTCCTTGCAGTGCCCTTGCTGCCGGCCCCTAGCCAGCCGAGACCTGCCGTGGGACCCCAGAGATTCCCGGTGAGTAGCAGCTGCCCCCTTGCCCTGTTGGGGCTGAGTGTACATTTACTAAGTTGAAACACAGTAAATACAAGCTTAAAGATTGTAAATGTTGACAATAATTTTTGCAGTGGAAAATGTTTGTTAAAAGATTACGGTCAATGGATTTTTGAGAACAATTAACTGTAAAATTGTTGAATCAGGATCATCAGTAGAATGCTTTTCTTCTTAAATAATATGAATTTTGATTCTATTATTGCCTTCTGTTGAGAGAAAAAAGGGACTTGCTTTAATATGTGTGTGTTTGTGTGTTTATATGTGGGTGTATATGTGCATTTACATACACCTGGGTATGTGTATGAAATTCTAGGCATGTTAAGGAAATTCACTACTTTTTTTTTTAAGCCTCAAAAGTTGTAATGAGCCTTTGGTATTTATATTTTAAAATGAAGGTTTTCTCTTTGAAACGTCTTGAGAAGAAAGCACACATCCTCCTCTTTGTCCCCACTGCCCTGCTTCACACACACATACTTTCCATGACTCTATCCATTCTTCTCACGTGTTTTATAACTAGAACAAAAATGTCCATTAAATGGTTGTATTTGTTTCAATAAATACATTTTGTTCAGTTTGAGTTTTTAGTTTCGTAGTTCATGGTTTCTTTAAATCAGGACATGTTCTTTTTAAAAGCAATGTTGAGAAGAAAATGGACCAGTACATATCATTTTGATAACATTTATGTGTAAAACATTTGTAGTTTTGTTTAGTCTAAACTCAGTGACCTGTCTCTAGCTTTGATACTTCAGTAGATACCTTACTTACATATGGCATTCAGCAAAAGGATTTTTAGGAAAGATCTAGATGTATAGTCAGATGATTATTGAAAACTAAAATTAGTAGTGAATTTAAGGTTCAGAGTAGTTTTTTAGAAATTTTCTTGATTTGTGGTTATTTATAAATTACGATATAGTTTCTAAAACTTACTGGTTTCATTCCCTTATATTGGCTGATTTTTTCTTTGAATAATTAATCAAAATCTAAAAACCAGTTACTTGTTAATTAAGTGGTATTTATTGAGTACAAGTCTTCATTTGAAGCACTTGAGCACTTGTCTAAATAGCTAAGATGTATTCATTGCATTACCCAAGGATAAGTGTATATGGTTTTAGCCCGTAGATAGGTAGAGTTCTTCTGCTGAAGTAGTAGTTAAACTGCTAGTATGGAAGCGCCAACATTTTAACTGTGAACAACTATGTTAAAGTCATGATTGGATTTGTTTTTCACATTTTATTTTGCATTTTAGGGTAAAATTTGATGTGAAAAGGCAACTTTAAGAAAAATAAAACAATATTAAGTAATTGATATTTTTATAAAAATGTGTTTACTGATATAAAATTAGAATAATCTTTTGCAATTTTCATCTACTTGTATTTTTCAATTATGCACATTAAAATTGTATCAGATACTAGTGGAAGCAAACCTCATAATACTTGAGATTATTACAAGATGATAATAAATTTCTTTGTGAGAAATAGAGCTTATTTCTAAATCACACAGTACTGAGGATGGCAGATGTTGTGGAACGGCTTTAGGAAAGTTTTCTGCCAAGTGTAATATTTTGTTCCTGTTTCTGAGATGGGAAGCGTGCTCGGGTGATAGAAAATAGTTGGGCTAGACATTGGTTGTATGATATGATTGGAGAAATGTTTTTTTCTCAGTTATTTATTGCTGTTTCACATGTACTGTGTCTTTGTTTAAGCCCCAAATGCTAGATCTTAAGCTGGAGTTACAGTGAACTTGAGATCTTGAAGATGCAGTTCCCTACTTCTTTCTGTAGTCAGTCTCTCTTAGAGAAAATAATCAGACGTGGAATCTATTTTAAAAAATACATTAGACGTATTATGCTTTTTAAAAACCCATCAAAATACTGTGGGGAAGGGAGACTAACTCTAGGCCATCCTATTTTACTTACACCAAATTTTTTAGTAAAATCATTTTTTTCTTTTTCTACTGCTAGATCAAACTTGATTGCTATCGGTGTAAATGTAGCCTTGGTAACATGTAGTGCGTTTTGCCCGCATGCTTGGTGCTGTCCGGAGGGCTGGTGCTGGTCCTCGTCCTTGTGCCATACCGTGGGCCAAGCATAGTTAAATGAAGCCCAGCTCTTGTCCTTCAGCCAGTTCTCATCTCAGCAAAATTATAAAAATAGTGAAGACAGTATTTTGGTGGCTTAACAGAACCCCCTGGAGATACCTTACTGATGGCAGTGTGCGCTGGGAACTCCGTCCTGATACTTTCCAGAGAGGAAGGGGTCTTCAGTCAGTATTTGTTAACCTGAATTTGGCTTTGTCAGATGACCACCTACACAAGTAAGTGGATAAGACACTGAAGTTAGGCAGCCCCAATGCCGTCAGGTCCATCACAGGTCTGTTTGAATTGTGTGCTTCCTTGGTGCTCAGAAAAATTTGAATCAGAGACCTGTTGAGCAAAGCACGGTTCATTGTAGTCTTCTCTTCCTTCAGCCTAAGCCCCTTTAATGAATTCCCATTGCTCCCAGGGTAGGTGCTGTTCTTGTTGACAGCTTTATACTGCTTGCTGGAATCATGTGAGTACCTGATGAATATCCTGCAGATAAACTCTGTATAGTCTCCGCTGTCCGGTGCCCGGTGGAGCTGACATAACCCTGGGCCTTGTGCACAGAAGGTGCCGATGAGCAGTGGTTTAGTATGTGTACCAGGGTACTGACTTACCTTGCTGCTTGCTCCTTACCACTACACGATGAGTGATGTAGAGAAGAGGTATGTATCTTGTTTCCAAGGACACATCTGTGAATTTGCACAGAATTATGTCATGTGCATTTAACTAAGAATTCAGTCCTACCTAGCTGACTAAAGAGTCAAAACCCAAGTGCCATTAAGTTTACAGAACTTAAAGGAATTAGGATATAGTTAGTATTAATCCTGAGGTCTTCCCTCCCTTCTCCAAAAAAGTGGCGCACTTGACTTTGCTAAAAGTTCTTTGATAGTTTTATGAAAACCTGAGAAGTTCTTAATTTAGAGCTAGTATGCCTAAAAATGTTAAGTGATGATGCCTCTGGCTTTTTAAATTAAGTCACAGATGACTCTAGACAACGTAACATTACAAACTATTTCAAATAGAATTGTTCAAAATTATTTTAAAAATTAAAGTCTTGGGCCAAAATATCGTATTATAGGCTATGTTTGATGTGGCAAAACTAATATTTTTATTTCCTGTTAATGGATTTTATGTAGAGAATTGAATGAACAGTTTTATGAATTGAATGAACAAAAATTTGAATGTCAAAGTAGCAGACACGGCGAGTAAAGGACCCTTATTTCGGATCATAAGCGGCTGCTGTTTGGTTGTGCTGTCTTCGTGCCTGTGTGGATTTCCTCCCGCGTTCCCTCACAGTTCGGTGAAGTGCTTTGTGATTTAGGTTTCTGTCCAAAAATGAGATGCATGTGTGTACTTTTAGTTATCAATACAGCCATTAGTGCTACACTCTAAAGTGTTTCTTCTCATTCAGACTTTTATTCCCAAGGCCATTGCATTTTTTCAGATCAGAGTTATGAATCGTTTTTGGAAATGCAAACATTTCAGTTTATAGCATATCAGAGAATAAATCTTTTTCATACTCCTTTTCATATTAGAATATTAATCTGCCAAATGTGAAATACCTCAGTTATTTAAATCAAAGCTTTTCCAAGAGCTGACTGGCACAGGAGGTAAGCCTTGCCCTCGAGGCAGAGGTACTCTGTGAGTGGCTGTCCCTCCCTCCAGGTCAGTGTCTTCCATTCTGTCCAGTCTTGCCGTGTAGCCAGTTGTTACCCCCCAGGCCTCTTGGGAAGCATCGTCATTCACGTCCGTACCTTGAATATAATGGTTTTCGTTTTCATGTTATTTTTTGTTGGCGTGGGAAGGCTAGTTTACCTTTCTGCAGGTAAGCTTCTATCTTTGTGTTTATCTGAATACTGTTTTCAGCTCCAAGTATTCTTGGTTTTACATGTTAATTAGTCTAATAGGTTTTTCTTTCCATGAAGCATCTCCCTGATGTTTTTTTGTTGTTAATACAAGTTTTGAAGCCCCTGCTAGCCACAAGTATATTTTCCAGTTATGTATTTGTCCTCAAAGAGATGTTTATTGTGTTTAAAGTTTGACGACTTAAAAAAGACATTGAAGTGTTGGTTAATCATATTTTAAAGTGTTGCTTTGAGATTTTACTGACCTAATTTGTTTTTGGTGTTAACTGTGTGTTGTTTTTAAGCCTATCAGATAAATCCCAAGCAACTCAGGTTGTGAAGCACCTGAGGCGCTTTAAAACCCATTCAGTCCTTGATTGTGCATTGGTGTGTCAGGTGAATTCTGATACTGCAGGGTAGCCAGTTAAGTACTAGGAAGTATGGCTGCTGAATAATTTCTTACTGATCTCTGTTAAAATGAATACTAAAAATTAAGTTAAAAAAAAGACTGTTACACTTTTAAGTTTAAATTAGTTTTTTTGGCAATTGTGTTATTTATAGGTAGATGTAATAAATGAGATTTCTGTGTTTACTGTGTAGTCATAGTACCTTCCCGGCAAGTCTGTTATGTCCCAGTGTAGCAGGATGCCTGGTGTCACGTGATGGTCGATACCTCCTGGACCTGCGTTCTATGCTGTTTCATGCCAGTCATGTTTGAGGAGGCTGCTGCGCCAAATCACGTTTCTTTCTCATTGTAGCCCTTGCAGATGTGAATCCAGACTTTATTCCATCTAGGAAAAAGTCTTTCTTCTGAACTTTTAACTGTTTCTACAGTTTGCCCGCAATGCCATGTAACTATTATCACTTAAGACAGGGAAGGAATGATGGGCATTTTCTCATGACAGACCTTGGAGTAGTAGCAGGCAGCTGTGGGAGGAGACCCTTCCAGCTGTCAGACATCGTCAGTCTTGCAAGAACAGAATGCAGTTTAAAGTGCAGGTGACATAATACCCAACATCCTCCATTTGCTGGTGGGTTTCT